ACACCAGGCATCAGATGACCAATCCAAGAGCCCCAGGTCCCGGGGCCCAACGCACCAAGGCAACTCGACGGAGCTCACGGACTTCCAGGTATACCAGTTGCCCCACCCCAACGTAGAGAAAATTTATGTAGAGGTACAGATAGAGGGGCCCCATGCCTCATGGAGCTGGACACGGGTTCAACTCTATCCATAATCTCGGCAAGGACCTTAAGGAAACTGTGTCCTACTGGGGGTCCCAAACTCAGGCCGGCCCCATTCACCCTACGGGACTTCCAGAAACGTAAGGTCCCCACAATGGGGGTGGGGACCTTCAGGGTGCAATACAGAGGGCGCACGCGGCAACTGGACTTGCTTGTGGTCAAGGGCCCCTACATTAGCTTACTGGGATTGGCATGGTTTGGACCACTGGGGCTAGCTGTCACCGGGGTGAACCACACTAGCTTACAAGTGGACGTGGACGCCATATGCAAGGAATTTCCAGGGGTTTTCGATGGGAAATTGGGACAGTATACGGGGCCCCCCATTGCGCTACAGCTTGACCCCGCAGTACGACCGGTCAGGCTCAAGGCCCGCTGGGTCCCGTTCGCCTTGAAACCCCGTATAGACGAGGAATTGGACCGACTCGTGGAGCAAGGAGTGCTGGAGCCGGTGCCTAATGCCCCCTGGGAAACCCCAATCGTCACACCCGTCAAGCCTAATGGTTCGGTCCGCATCTGCGCAGACTACAAATGTACCATAAACAAGGCCCTCACGGCCCACGCATACCCAGTGCCAGTGGTCAGCCATGTCCTTGCCACCCTGGCTGGGTCGAAAATTTTTGGCAAGCTGGACTTGGCCCAAGCATATCAACAGCTGCCAGTAGATGAGGCCACAGCAGAGGCACAGACGATTGTGACGCACAGAGGAGCGTTCAGGGTAAAGCGGCTGCAATTCGGTGTCAGCGTGGCACCAGGCATATTCCAGAATCTAATGGACTCTCTCCTTAAAGGGATTCCTGGCGTCACCCCCTTCTTCGATGATGTGTTGATTGCCGGGCCCACACCAGAGGAGTTCGAGGACCGCCTCCGCACCGTTCTGCACCGTTTCCAGACGGCGGGTCTCAAGGTGAAGCGGGAAAAATGTCTACTAGGAGTGCCTCAGGTGGACTTTCTGGGATTTATGGTGGACGCAGAAGGGGTCCACCCGACTGGGGACAAGGTACGGGCCATTTGTGATGCCCCAGCGCCCAAGAGCAAGACTGAACTTCAGGCCTTCTTGGGACTATTGAACTTTTACCATTCCTTCCTTCCCCACAAGGCGGCGGTAGCGGAGCCCCTACACAGACTCCTGGACAAGCGGGCCCCTTGGGTGTGGGGCCAGTGCCAGGAGGCCGCATTCCAGGCAGTAAAGGACTTGCTTGTCTCAAACTCGGTCTTGGCACACTTCGACGAGAGGCTGCCAGTGGTGCTAGCATGCGACGCCTCACCCTATGGCATTGGCACTGTCCTGGGGCACCAACTCCCGGATGGAAGAGAGGTACCGGTGGCGTACTTTTCCCAGACACTCAACGCAACCGAGCGGAACTACTCGCAAATCGACAAGGAGGGTCTGGCAATCGTGAAGGGAGTAAAAAAATTCCATGATTTCTTGTACGGGCGGCCCTTCACCGTGGTGACTGACCACAAGCCGTTGCTTGGCTTGTTTGCCCCTGAAAAGCAGACCCCCCAAGTGCTGTCTCCTCGCGTCCTCAGGTGGTCAATTTTCCTTGCCAGCTACCAGTATGCACTGATTCACCGACCTGGGAAGGCGATGGGCCATGCGGACGCCCTCAGCAGGCTACCACTACCAGAAACAGGCCCTGACCCAGCACCTGCACAAGAGGTTATGAGCCTGGAGCTGCTTCCCGACCGCCCCATTCAGGCACAAGAAGTTGCACACCATTCCAAGAAAGATAGGGTCATCTCCCGGGTCCTGGACTCGGGCTGGAGGTTCTGGCCCAGCAGCAGCCCTGCGCCAGAATTCGCCGGGTACACAACCCGCAAACATGAACTGTCGGCCCACAAGGGGTGCCTGTTATGGGGAAGCAGAGTCGTTGTTCCCCAGCCCCTCCGCAAAAGGGTCCTCACAGCCCTACACGAGACACATCCAGGGGTAGTAAGAATGAAGGCCCTTGCCAGGAGTTATGTGTGGTGGCCGGGGATCGATGGAGAGATAGAGGCCTGGGTCAAACACTGCCAGGCCTGCCAAGAATCCCGCCCAGATCCCCCAAGGGCCCCAGTCCAGTCCTGGGAGTCCGCCCGAGCACCATGGTCACGCCTGCATGTGGATTTTGCTGGCCCCTTTCAGGGGAAACATTCTTCATAGTGGTGGACTCCTACACCAAATGGCTGGAAGTCGCACTGGTACCGTCCACTTCCACGTCCGCAGCCATCAGGGTACTACGCAGGCTGTTTGCAACCCACGGGCTCCCTGACACTCTCGTCTCAGACAACGGGACTGCATTTACATCAGGAGAATTCCAAACCTTCACAGCGCAGAACGCCATCCGCCACATCCGTTCGGCGCCGTTCCACCCTGCCACCAATGGCCAAGCAGAACGCATGGTGCGGACCACCAAGGACACCCTTCGCCGCATGACGCAAGGGGACTGGGAGCACCGCCTTGCCACATTCCTTCTAGCACAGCACAGCACCCCCAGCTCAACGACTGGCCGGAGCCCCGCTGAACTACTAATGGGTCGGCGCCTTGCAATCAGATTGGACCGCCTTCACCCCGATAGAGCTCAGGATGAGGTAGTGGTGGGGAAGGCAGGAACCCCGGACCTTCGAGGCCCAGGACCCAGTGTACGCAAAGAATTTTGGGGCAGGCCCAGCATGGGTACCCGCCACAGTCACCAGGGTCACTGGCCCCGTGTCGTACGAGGTGCTAACGGATGGGGGCAATGCTGGCGCCGCCACTGCGACCAGATACGGCGACGATTCCCGGGAGAAAACCAGGAGGAGGACAGGTCAGAGGAGTCCCAAGGGAACAGCGGGGCAGTGAGGCCCATAGAGCAGGAGGGGCCAGCAGGAGAGGCAGAATCAGTAAATACAGAGAGGACACGCAAGGCCGAAAAGACACCGGAACAAGAACCACGACTGAGCGAGCCGGTTGCGCCAGACCAAACAGCCCCATCACAGCCAGCATCCTTGGAACACGAGCCAGAACCTGGAGCCCGGACCAGGGAACACCCCAGGCCACAACGCACACGTAGGCCGCCGGCGTACCTTGAGGACTATGTATGCGACCTCCCGGGCAGGAATGGAACTTAGAGGGGAGGGGTGTTATGTACTGAGTTGAATAGGATCCAAACTGCAGCAGTCTGATTGGTCCTAGAACAATAGGATTCAGAATGCAGCAGTCTGATTGGTCCTAGAACAATAGGATTCAGAATGCAGCAGTCTGATTGGTCCTAGAACAATGCAGCAGTATGATTGGTTGGCAGGAACCACCCAATCCTGCTCCAGATAGAAGTGAATCCACAACCTGATTGGCTTACAGTAGAATTCCAGAATTAGCCAATCATGTGCAGCCCATTGTGTAAATAATGTATATAAAGCAGATACTGTGAGGGGACATTCATTCATTCCTCCTCACCACTATGAGCTGAATAAAGAGCATGAAATCACTTTGCGACTCTGAGTATATTTCAGACCTCCAGAACAAATTAAGTTCTTAACCTAAGGTACCACTGTAAATTGCATTCAAGAGACAAATTACTTGTTGATTACTCTGGTACGTGGATGAATCATGTGGATAAGCCATCACAAGCTATGTCACAGATGAGATTTTTGGAGAAGGAGCCGTAACTCACTGTTGGAGGATGCCAAAGGAGCCAGGTTCACACCTGGCATCAGGGCCGGCCCACCCATGAGGCAAGGTGTTTCTGTTTGTGTGTACATATGTGTATAATCAAATTGGGTTTCAAATAATGACAGATTTTACAACAAACAATAGTAAATAGCCATTTTGTTATTTTTCTTAGTCTAATTGGAGGATGAGATGGTTGGACAGTGTTCTCGAAGCTACAAACATGAGTCTGACCAAACTGCGAGAGGCAGTGGAAGACAGGAGTGCCTGGCGTGCTCTGGTCCATGGGGTCACGAAGAGTCGGACACGACTAAATGACTAAACAACAACAATTGGAGTACTGTACTATCCTAATGGGACGCGGGTGGCGCTGTGGGTAAAACCTCAGTGCCTAGGACTTGCTGATCGTAAGGTCAGTGGTTCGAATCCCCGCGGCGGGGTGAGCTCCCGTCGTTCGGTCCCAGCTCCTGCCCACCTAGCAGTTCGAAAGCACCCCTAAGTGCGAGTAGATAAATAGGTACCACTTTATAGCGGGAAGGTAAACGGCGTTTCTGTGTGCGGCGCTGGTGCTGGCTTGCCAGCTGCAGTTTCGTCACGCTGGCCACGTGACCCGGAAGTGTCTTCGGACAGTGCTGGCTCCCGGCCTCTTGAGCGAGATGAGCGCGCAACCCTAAAGTCGGACACGACGGGCCCGTACGGGCAGGGGTACCTTTACCTTTACTATCCTAATATATATATATATTTAAAAATTAGCTCTTATGTTCCTTGAGGTTTAGCACTGTAAGATGATGGAGTTGTGTTGGCTACAGCTGCATTCACGCATTGGGTTTATTTAATTAATGTTACTGATTATAAATCTAGCAGTTCTGTCGCATTATCTATCGCTCTTTTCTCACAACAGAATCTTTAATAATGTTACTTTTACCTTTACCTATTCTGAATTTAAATCACACCAGTGAGTCTGTCATGTAGTGTGAAAGGAAGTTTAGAAATTGGAATCTTGCCTCATTGAGCGTTGCAGCACAAACACTTGGGAACCCCCTGCCTATTGAGACCCAGAAGGTTCCTTCACTGAACTCTTTTTGGTGCCTGCTTAAAACATTCTTATTTAGGCAAGCCTACCCAGCTGCTTAGAAAGTTTAAGGAATTTTAATCTGCTTTCGTTTTTTTTTAATGTTTTACAGTAGAGTTGTGTTTTTATTTTATCTTACTGTTTTATCTTTTTAAAACTGCTTTGAGGTTTTTATCAATCAAGCAGTTTGGAAATTTTATAAAATAAATTAAGGCTGTATTTCTAATATATTTCCAATAGTATATAAAATAATGCAAAGACCACAAACATGTCCTATTTCTGAGGTGAGGCTTTTGCTGTGGAAAAAGGGAAGCAATAGCATAGGATTATGAAGAAACTTCTGGAAGAAACTTAGGGCTGCCATATGTCTGGAATTTCCCAGACATAGCCGAGATTCATCCTTCGAAAATGACATCCAGGTGGAATCTCCGAAAAGTGGCTAAAATGTCTGGGAAAACCTGGGCGTATGGCAGTCCATATCGGAAGCGTTGGGCCAAAAAAAAAAAAGTTCAACAACATGGTCAAGTCACAGTTCATGGGATGAGTCAAAGGACCAGTAATAATGCAATGCTCTTACAAGAGGTGCTTCAATGATTATCATTGAAAGAAAAGTTGGAGTAGCAAGAGTGAGAGCTGGACAACTGAAAACATGCAACTGCTCTTCATCAATATGCAGATGTCACTATGAGATATGATCGATCTGATCATCATGAACCTAGTCAACTACTTACGACAAATGTCCTGTGAGTGGCAGGTGCAGAGTTCAGAAGGACACTCTCTTGCCTGAAGATCCAATACTTGTTATTGCACTTGCAAAGAACACCCTGCCATATAAGGGTATTATACAGCAGGTGCCATATGATTACTTGTGCGTAAGATATCACAGCTCAGCACAGCCCCAGGTTTACCGTCGGCACTTGGACATGACCAAGATTCCAAGTAGGAGCATTGATGCAACTGGAGGATTGGTCAGAAAGATAGATGGGGTGGAAAGGGTGAAAAATCCAGGCACGCACTTCCATATAATGCTGTTGTTCAAAATCCTGACACACACACTCCAAATCAATCTGGTGCGCAGCATGGTGCTTGAACAACATGATACAGAAACTATCAAATACTGGCTGGGAAGGTGGATCTGTGATGGTCAAAACAGCCTAAGGACATAGAATCATAGAATCATAGAGTTGGAAGAGACCACAAGGGCCATCGAGTCCAACCCCCTGCCAAGCAGGAAACATTGTTATGGACATATCACCGTGTCATCATGCATCCAGACATTCACACAATTTCTATCCCTGTCAGAGTACCTGAATGAATGTGCTAAGATTCTGAATGAAAGCCCCACCCCCCAGGCCACCATGTACTGGCCAAATCTCAAAATTGGGTCAGGAGGGAACCCAAAATGCTCTGTGGCGGCTGGGGAGGAAGTCAACTGTTGCAGGCATAATGGTGCTGCTTCAGGGAGTAGCAGAGCTGCTGCAACAGGTTGCAACTGCCGCCCATCCCAAACTAGGTAAGTGGCCATTGTCAATAGCTGTTCCCAGTAAACACACTATCTTCCTGGATACTCAGTTTTACAATACAGTACAATTTCTAAATGGTGTCTCCATCTTACAGCTTTTAAAACATGGAATCTGTGGGTATAAAGCTCATAATTCCTCAGCCTATTCTGCTTCTATCGACTCCTCACAAATTATGCTTCCTGGGCTTCATCTCACTCAGCCATGGGGTTCAAGAGTAGGAGGAAGACTTTCCTACTGCTGTATGAGCTTTTCAATGTCTTTGAGAAACGTCTGCTCCACTGAAAATAAAGTTGTCTAAATTTTTGTGTAAACACAGTATGGCCTAATTCCAGATCAGAGTACACTCTTCTTGAAAGAAAAATCTAAACATCAATGCAAAGCTTAAATAAAAATTCTACCTAAAGAACAAGAACCTCATTGTCCAGTTTAGCAAATTTATCTAAAGCTGTTTTTATCCTTAATTGAAAAATTGAACACCCAGCAGCCAATATACACACTGAAATGCTAAAGACATTCTGAGCACTGGCATTTGGGGGCCCAGCATCACGGCTGAAGCAAGGAGCCTTTTTGCTGTGAGAGTCAAGCTGAGATTTAGCTCTATCGCAGCAGAAATTCATTTGCAATCATGATGTTCTGGTGTAGGGGCCTGCCTTTGGAAATCACCGTGCCAGAACTTGATAACAAAATGAACGCAGCATTTTTCTGATCCTGCTTACATGCCCTGTGAACCAGAGCAGGAGTGGAAATAAACATCTCCAAAAAACAGAACCATGTTGGCTTAACCCTTGTTTCTTTGTCTTTACATACAGAAGTAATGGAAGGGAAATCCCTCTTGTCCTGAAGAAGGGGCAGACCCAAGTGCCACGTTTCATTGCCTCCCAAAGCAGTAGCTAGTTTGAGGGAGTGAGTGGCAGTCTGGGGCCATATTGCTTGCAAAGAAGGATGCTATCACTAAGATCTGGAGAGCAAAAATGGGACTTTTCAGACTAAAGAGATGCAACATTTTGGGCTAATTAATTGAGGTGCTTCTATATTCATTAATAGTTAGCATGAAGGTTACTAAACTCTACTATGTAAACATTTGGCTACGATATTTAAAAAGTTTGATGTCCACATGTTATATAGAAGTATAGACATAGATTAGCCATTTTCATTTCTGAAACATTTTTTAGGGCTAGTCTTAAACTGGATATTTGAGATCACTGTGGTCACTGATTATGTTTTTTTAATGGAAAGTCTATGTACCACAGTTTAACAATGGACTCACAATATGGTTTAACGACAGTCTCCTGGCATCATAGAGCTTTTTCCGCCATAATAACCAGTGCTTGCTTGCTTGCTTTATTTATTGAATTTATAGACCGCCCTATACCCACAGGTCTCAAGGCAGTTCACAGGATAAAATCAGGATATAAAACCACAAAATACATAATTAAATAAAAACAACAACAACAACCCAATAAGCCCCTCCCCCTTGGTGGTACTCAACGGTACACAGTAGTGGCACCTTTTTATTTTACCCCAAATCATGCAATAAGGTATATAGAGGGTGGGGAGAGCAAACAAAACAACCGTGGCTGAAAGGGGGAATGTGAAAAGCAGGAGGCTGAGACAGCAGCGGCGAGGAAACGGAGGCCCTTGTTTGAGGCTGTAGTTGCCGCTCTCAGTCCACAGGTTGCCCCGTTTCCCCTTGGCTGCCCTGTGTGTCTCTCTCTCTGAATGTGCTGTGTGCGGTTGTGCAAGTGTTGGTTCCCTTTAGTCTCTGCAGTGTGTTCAAGCGGGGGCAGCCAGAAGGGGAGGAGGCAGCAGCCTCTGCTGTGAGCGTCACCATCATACTGTGGCTGGGGGGAGGGGAAGGAGAAGGGGGAGGGTGGGGTGCAGGGTGGGTGTGAAGAGCAGACAGGGCAAAGGGTGGGGGGAGATTGAAGAAGAGGGAGAGGCCATATAACAACTATTGAGTGCTGCTTATTGCCACGTTCCTGACGTGCTTCTCAGATATTTTCAAAATGTAGTGCATTGATGCAGCAGCTCTGAACAATGCCTTGGGGGTCTTTGAGTTCCAGCATCATATTTTGAAACTCAGCAAAATCTTTTGTCAGAAGTTTTCTGAAAGCATGAAAGACCTTGTTTAGACAGTCTAAAGCTTGACTGATCCTTGTTCTCACTAAGATTGCAGTTCAAATTAAGTTAGTCATTCTTGTTCTAAAAGTTCTAATTGATGGTGATTTTAGGCATGGAAAAGAAGTGAGCATTACTGTCACCAATCCACCAGGAGAGATGGGGAAAATGTGCACAAAATTCACTCAAAGTACAAATAAGCAATAACAAGATTCCAAGGTGCATGTTTTTCAATATGGTGTAAGAAGTCATGTTTTAAAAACAAATTCATAACTAGGTAAAGAAAACAACACACTTCCTACACCAGAAGTCTCTAGTTCTAAATATCCGGCTGCAGAATCCGAAAGAGAAAAGAAGATTCTTTTTTCTAGCCAGAAAATGCTCCATAAGGTAGAAGGAACATTCAAACAAAGTCATCATTTTTTACTATGGGCAATGAAGCCAGCAAAGGGTTGTTTTAACACTAAGGCACAAATAATTTTTCTGTGTGCAGTGGAAGTTATTCACCATTCATCCCCAGGTGCACCCCCTAAATCTGTTCTGGGGATTCCCCCAACCCTCTGGAGACAGCAAGGAGAGTACACTGGGGAGGAAAGGGGCAAAATCCTGAAGCACTTCTGCTAATCCTTGCATTAGTGCATGGTTTCAGTTGAATTCCACCCAGTGTTTATAAAATGTTTACCCTTACTGAAGAGGCAAAGGGTGAGCAAGTGCTTTGGCTAAGTTTGATGTCCTTTTCGCCCTCAAGGAGAATGTGATTGCAGGAGCAGCCAGTGCAACGCTGTGCCAGTGGGCTCTGCCAGTTCCCCACATAGTGCAGACCTCAGCACCCTTCCCTCGCCCATCCCAGGAAGTGGCTGAAAGCCAGGAGGGTGGCTCTGCACTACCGCCTCACTGTGACTGTTGCTCCTACCTGATCAAAATCAAGAGCTCAGAAAAGCTGCTGAGTCACTATTAATTGCCTGATGTGAACAAGCTAAATACGGTGACTTGGCTTATTTACAAAAGATGAACACAAGACAGATGGGGATTTGGAATTCTGACCCACTATTTCATAATGATTCTGCTTTATATTTAGGCAGCAAACTAGAGCTGGGTGTTCATTAAATACCCAGATGACAGAACAGGCTTCCCACTTATTTCTAAAATTGCCTATTTAGACATTCATTGCTTGCTCATTAACACTGTCCTCTGGGTGGCTCATGCAACATTCAAACAATAAAAAATATAGCAGTAAAAAAAAGTTAATTTGCGAAAATCAGCACAAGCAAAATAAAATAAATCTAAAACAGCTAAAATTATTTGCTCCAAGAACTAAAAGATGTGTTTAAAAGGGCTGGGAGAATAAATAGGTCTTCACCTGGTGCCAAAGAGGTATTGATGTTGTGTGCAGGGCAAGCTGACGCGCAACGTAAATTAATAATGCAGAGTTTTAAAGAATAAAAGCTTTACTGAATTAAAATAAACTTCTTCATAAACAACATGGTTCCAAACAGTTTGACTGAGATTGCATACAGACTCTGCTCACAGCTGCGACAGACAAGACTCTCACATCTTACAGAGAACACAAAAGAGAAACTGGCCACTAAGTCACATGTCAGAGTGACTCCACAGTTAGCAGTTAGGCCTGAATAACTTGAGTAGGCCCAAATGACTGTGCAGTCCTAGCACTTCCCAGCCTGCTTTGCTGCTTCTGCTCTCATGTGTCTTTGTCACATGACACAAGCCTCATCATGGCAGAGGGCATCCCATAACCAGGGTGCCGGAACAAGGAGGGCCCTTTTCCTAGAGGCCACCCACCTTGACTCTTTATGCAGAAGAACCTGTGGAAGGGCCTCTGGCATTATTCTGAAGGTCCAAGCAAGTATATATAGGAGCAAGTACCGTATTTTTCGCCCTATAGGACACACTTTTTCCCCTCCAAAAATGAAGGGGAAATGTGTGTGCGTCCTATGGGGCGAATGCAGGCTTTCGCTGAAGCCTGGAGAGTGAGAGGGGTCGGTGCGCACCAACCCCTCTCGCTCTCCAGGCTTCAGGAAGCTCTCCGCAAGCCGTGGGAGAGCTGCGCGACTTCGCACAGCTCTCCCACGGCTTGCAGAGAGCTGCCTGTTCTGGGGGCTGGGGTCGGGGGAAGCCTGGGGGGGAAATAATTTTTTTTCCTTTATTTCCCCCCCAAAAAAAAAATAGGTGCGCCCTATGGGGCGAAAAATACGGTACATACAGGAGCCTTAAGGTAGCCTGGTCCTAAAGCATTTAGAACTTTAAAGCACTTTGAAGTGGGTTGGAAATGAACTGGAATGTAGAACAGATGATGAAGCATTTATAGGATTTTGCTCATATCTGCTAATCCCCATTAGTAAGGTTGCTGCCATTTGGGGGGTCAACTGGAGTTTCCATAATCATTTTTAAAGGCTGCCTCATTGCAATGATCAAACTGGGAGGTGGCAGTTCATAAATCATAGATCTAGGAGCACCCTGAAAAAGGGATCAGTAAATCTGCCACCTTTATTCATTTCATTGCATTGCATTCATTTATACCCTGAAGGAACTCAAGGTGCCTTACAGATAAAAATAAGATAACCAAGTTTAAAAAACATTGATAGAATTGAAACTATAAACATATGTAAAATCCATTAAAATCATACCAGCAATTACAATAAAAGCAGTAGGACATCATCCCTTTCATCACATGCAGTCAGTTCCCCAAAGTCTGTTGGAACAAGGTCTTCACCTGCTAGTGGAAAGGCAATGGGTTCTTACCTCTCTCAAGCTCAGTTTTTTGTGTTTCCATATCAGTTTCGCAATTTCTCATAACGTTTTGATGAACATTATATGCAGGTTTGTCTAATGTGTACAACTTTGCAAGCAATTTCCCCATATACCGTATAATGTATTATAGTATGTTATTTTCATGAATATATGCATTTTAGACACACATATACACATTGTTATGAGTTTGTGGGTGCCAAACTCCTTTAATAATCTTAGCAAGTGTTAAAAGCTAATCAAGCCAGGCTAGCTTCCTGGTGAGGTAGCCGCTGGGGTGATGGGCCATTGTGAGAACAAGGAAAAGGGGGCTCTGTGTCAGATGACAAATGGGTGGGCACCCTCCTCTAGCTCTCAGATGCTTAGGACAGAGTTTGCTGTTATGTGACCTAAAGAGAAAAGTTGCAAGCTTGAAAGGCAGAGAGAACGCCATGGCTGATTTCTGCTTGAATCCAAGGTTGTGTCTCTGGAACAAACAAGACCTTTTGGGATGCTGATGCTGTGAGCTGGCTCAGGTTGTATACATGTGTAAATAAACCATATCTCCTAAAGACCCCACAGTCTCTACTGTCCCTCATTTCCAAAAGGAAACACAAACCTTGGATGAGTTCCTGGAACACCTGCAATTTTGCCCCACTTGGAGATTCGGGTGCCATACAACAGTAGGTACTCTTTTTGGTGTGTGAGTGTGTGGAGAGAGAGAGAGAGAGTGAGTGAGAGAGAAAGAGCTGCATCACAAAACTCAAGGAAATGTGAGTTCTATTCTTTCCCTCTGGCTCTTGCTTTTTACTTCTCTTTCCCCTCACGCCTGCAACACCTGGAACGTTGGAAAGTGTAAGCCTCACATGTTACTCACCTGGAGTGCACTTATGTGCTGAATAAGAATGACGATCACCTGTGGACCTTTGAAGCTGAACCCCTCCTACATGGATCTCTGATACATGAGCAACTGCAAATGCATAAGGGTTTGTCTTCAGACATATGCTGGGGGCGTTGCTGCTGCTGCTGCTGCTGCAGTACAGTGGTGCCCCGCAAGACGAATGCCTCGCAAGACGGAAAACCCGCTAGACGAAAGGGTTTTCCGTTTTTGAGTTGCTTCGCAGGACGAATTTCCCTATGGGCTTGCTTCGCAAGACGAAAATGTCTTGCAAGTCTTGAGATTTTTTTTTCGCTCCCCCCCCTTTATCTAATCTGCTAAGCCTTTAATAGCCTTTAATAGCCTTTTAGCAGCTAATCCGCTAAGCCTTTAAGCCTTTAATAGCCGCTAAACCGCTAATAGCGCTAATCCGTTAAGCCGCTAATAGGGTTGCTTCGCAAGACGAAAAAACCGCTAGACGAAGACTCTCGCGGAACGGATTAATTTCGTCTTGCGAGGCACCACTGTACTTGTTGCCTGCCCTTCCCCAGCAGGTCCCAGGATGTGCTACAATAATGTAACATTCACTATTAAAAAGTTAAAATAAATTAGAGTCACAGGAATTTATCACACTACCATTGGGTGCAGCTTATCATGCCCTGGAGATTTGAATTCATTTAAAGTAGCTAGGTGTTCCCTGACCCCTCTTTTCCTATCTTGGGCTGCAGTTCATCCCTTGCATCATTTGTTATAAAATTTCCAGGTAGGGCATTGCTTTCCTTTAGTGCAGGCACATCCAACTTCAAATAGGCTGCGATCTACTCCCGGTATAAAAAACTGGCAGTGATCTACCCATTGTCATTGAAGGGACAAGGAGCATGCATAGGGTGCATGTGTGGAAGGAGGTGGCTAACTGGACGCGGGAGGGGGGAGTTTAAGTGGGGGGGAGGAAAGGGAGGCAAAAGTTCTCTCTCTGAGGAGCCAGTCGAC